CCCCAAAACCCCAAAACCCCAAAACCCCAAAACCCCTAGCCAACTCCACTATGCTGATCCTAAATTCTACTAAAAATCTTCTCCGACTTCTTCATAAATGACTTCTTCAGGGACATTCTCTGTCATGAGCATTGCTGTCTTCTTCTGGTTGCTTCTGTTCTTGTGAATGTAGTTCCGAGTGCCGTTGATGGTATGTCTCTTCGTGTCGTTTGGGGTCTTATTGATCATCTACAAGTTATTGGGTTAGGCGGAAAATTTTTGTCTCAAAATCTTACTATGGAGCTTAAGTTTGGATTAGCCTGGATAAAATTCTAGGCAAGAAAAGAACTAAGCTAATTCTAGACTGAATTAGAAAGGAAGTTTTTAAGATTGTGTATAATAATTAAAATAAGATTTCACATGGTTCTAGAATCAGATATGATGCTATATGTTATGTTGAGTGGATTTTCTTGTCTAAATTTTTTAAATCTAAGCAGACACTTCTCATCTAAAAACTCAAATTAGAAGATCTATAGTTTTGGGCCTGAAATTTGCCACCGTGACTTACAGTATGGTTAGCAAAAGGATTTGACTTTTGGAAGGTATTAGTGAGGTCAAGATAACTATCATTGATACTCTGAACCTCAGAAGCTTCATCTATATCAGCTCAAGCCTCTATAGAATCCTCATCTGGGACTTTCTCGTCACTTTGATCAAGATGCTTCACCTCTTCATATTGATAGCTAACTAATTCTTCAGATTCGATCTCAACTTGGTTCAAATCTTTGCCATTCTGTTTGCTGATTTCTTGGGCAATTTTGGTGCCAGTTCGAAAGGTTTCGTACACTTTCTCCTGATTCTTTTCATCAAAGTAGCTCTTGATACAAAGCAGATGATTGAGCCTCTCCACAGAGATCTTATTTAGAAAGAAGTTAGCAAGGCTACCACCATAATTCATTTTGGAGATGAAAATAACCTTTGATTCAGCCCCGCTTATGGGGATAATTGTGAATGATTCCTCATAAGAAGTTATTTCTACATCAATCGAACTAGTCTCTTGAGGAGATTCCACTCTTTGTGAAATTATGTGGCAGATTCCGTCTTCGGATACTCCATGGTACTCTTTGACATAGCATACTCTATTAGCAAATAATTCGCTAAAAGGGAATGTTTCTGGAAGTTCAAAAGTAACCTTTTTAAATTTCAAATGAGCATCTAAATTCTCCTGGATGATGTACGGTTCTCTTTTCAGCATCAGATCATATTTATGAGCCTCGCTACCAGTTTTCAACTCCTCGTAGATAATATTTGCTGAGGCTGGAATAGTGCAGATTCTTTTATAAGTATCAGTTGGAATATTGGTGTCTACCCAAAGCACTCCATCATCGGCTGTAAGCACAAAGACTACTACGTTTAGTACCAATCCTAGAATCGCAGACATTGTATAAGTCAGGAAATAAGAGCCGATAAAAGCTCCTACAGCAGGAATAAAGAAATTAATCACCGCTGTGATATTGAATATGAATCTGCTATCCTTGATGTTAAATCCATATGTCTCTTTACCCAATGAAGGTAAGATGGTGAACTGATTCTCTCTAGGTTCATTAGAACCTTGGAATTTGTTCTTTGCCATCTTAGTTAGATTTCTTATTTTCAATTGGGTCTCCTTAGAGATTTCTCCTAAGTCCTCTCCTTGGATATAAGTCTGAGACTTCCTATACTCGCTCTGGTCATCATCAACCTGAATAATGGATTCATCAGAATCTTCAATGTTTAGCCTGATTTCTTCTTTTTCCTTTGTCTTAAGGATCTTGTCTATTTGTATATTCTGGGTGTTGTTATTGATCATCTTCATTGTTCTAGAGTTATTCTTTAATTCTCTCTCTTCCAAGTTTATCTTAGGATCATCTAATTCTTCGATCACCTAAAGTGGCAGTTATAACTAAACCTTATTAGAAAAGATCTACAGTCTGAGTTAGAAGACTTTTGAGCTTACCTCTTCCACAATGATTACTTTCTCGTACTTTTCCTTTGTATTTCTATACTGGCTACCGTTAATTTTTCCCTTGTTGGCTTCTTTATCAGACATTTTCCAATTAATTTATTAAAAACAATAAAATTCTAAATTTTAGGGGTTTTGGGGTTTTGGGGTTTTGGGGTTTTGGGG